AATGTTGAGTTATTGCTACTAAAGAAGTGCAAGTCTAATGTATTAATTAAAAAATATACATTTTTGTGGTACTCTATAAGCAGCACATTTCTCGAAAAATATTATATTAATTAATCTTCTGATAAAAATAAAAATAAAAATGTGTGATCTATAAATAAATACTTATCCATGAATGTTCATGTTGGCGTTGATATTTTTATTACTTTGGCACATCATTGATATAATTATATAATGTTTAATTTTTCTTGGTTTTAAATTCTGTTTAAATGTCATTTATTTGATCATGTTTATAGAGTCAAGACAAATTGATAAGATGTCTGATTAAGTGATGGTGCAACTGCGTAAACAGTTCTTCTAGACAAAAGGTATTTTTTGGAACTAACATCAGCAGAAAAGTAATGTTACCAATATAAGTTGCATCAAATATCATTGAAAACTTTGAAAAGAGCTAATATTATATCAAATTATATAAATAACGCACTTTATTCCATCAAATTTAAAAGAAATTTGCTTAATTTTAACAGTATTCGCTGCAATAGATATCATATTGAGACGGTCTAAGAAAATAACAATGAATTGCTTTATATGCTTCATTTGTATTTATTTAGCAGATAAAGAATTCTTGACATTTACATCTAGCATGTTTTATAAATTCAATAAAACAATTGAATCAAAAAATGTTGCAAATTCGAAGTTCTTTAACTAAAAATGCTTATGCTTTGACATGATTGATTTGGACACCTGGGAGTAATAATGATGAATCGAATAATTAACAATTCACATGGATATTCTTTAATAAATCAGATGATTATTTTATTTAGTGGTTATTCATGCGCTATTTCTTTGCAAGTTAAGTTAGCCATCATACATTCCATATGTACATGTCATAATCTCTAACTTTCTTAGACAAAATTCATAGGGATTTATGTCGATTGATACACACACCATACAGATAATTTTTGTAATTTTATGGCTTTAACTAATACTTTCACTAGATGGTCCCATGTTTGCTTGCTTTCAAACGTAAATTCTATCTTTGCTAGAATACTTGCTCAATTCAAAAAACTAGTGCTCGATTCTCCAATTACTGAATCAAAACTATTTATCTTAATAATATTAATTAATTTATATTACAAGCATTCAATGAGTACTAGATGCCAATTGGAATATCATTGAACATACTCTTTCTCATGTATACTCACAAAAACTTTTGTTCGGGGTCATACTATATTGCATGATATAACATTGGTTCGTATAATACCAACTACTTATCATTAATATTTACCTCTACAACTTACATTTAGTTAAAAATATAATACTTCTCATGTATGAGTTTTCAATTGTACTGCCAGTTCCCATTTCAACCTCGTAACGTACCAGAATAGTCCTCCAGCGAAAACTTGGAATTTATGTTTGTTTTGATTTACCATCCATTTTTAGGTAAATTAAACTTTTTACAAATAATTTATTTGGTGCACATTTTGCATATTGTCATTTTGATAAAATGACATTTCCTACTTTAGAATAAACAAAACTTCATCCCGAATAACAAAATAAAATTTATTGGAATGAAACAACTAGATCTCACTCTGATCTCCACAAAAATTAAAATAAATAAGAAGTTGAAAAATTGTTCACTACAAATAATTACAAATCAATCACTTTATCTCAAGAGAGAAAAGTAAAAGAGAAAAATCAATCAAAACTTTTAAAGAAACAATAGCAGAAAAGATTGATCGATTAACCACTGATATCATGATATTACAAAACTAAAAATGTCCAAAAATAATAATATTCAATAAATTATATGTTATTTCATAAATTATAAGAACAAAACAATATTGGTATAAAAAATATCAAACATGAATTCGGCTTGTGTAAATTTAATGAAAATTCTGTAACAAGTGATGAAAAGCAATTATTTTGTAAAAAATAAAATAAAAAAATCATCTAGTTATATTATCAATAAACACACAAAATGAGTGAAGAAACTCTTTGAAATGATTTTATAATCTTGGGTAACTTTGGTATAAAGTATTCTCCATTTAAATGTACCAAGATAAAAATATTTTTCTTTTCTTTATATATTTTTATTTAAGCCCTGTTTGTTTTCCATTATTTACTCATTAAAATGAAAAATATGATCGTTATTCATCACATCAAGTCATCATATTTGACTTTCTATCTCTTGTGTGGTGCCCGTAACGACTATATTTTTCATTTTCATTCTTACATTAATATGGCTCAAACGGGGCCTTAATAAGTAACAGGATTATCATCAATTTTTATGCTTATACAAAAATGAACATTCAATAATAAATAACCGATACTATATTAATTTTTTTTAGAATACATAATATTATTTTTTATTAATTCTTAAAAAATTGGATCTAACGAAAATGTGTAATTGCGATGCAAAGCTTGTATTTAGTGTGTGAATATAAATATAGGAATTGTAAGTAACTCCTGATTATTAGGAGTAATTAATAAGATTTTTAAGATGGATGGATAATTTATCCCATGATTGACTCTTTCCTTCCTTACTATCGATCACATTTAAGCATTTTTTTCTTTTCAATTTATTGTCATTTGTATTTAAGTAGTTATATTATAAACTATTAATTAAATAAATGTGAAATTTATAATTTTTGAATGAAAATATTGACAATGTTATATAAGGACAAAATGATAAATTGAAATTTTCTTATATGTCTTCACATTTTATTTTTATATATATTATAATTATCTAAGTATATGAACATTGATTTTAAGTGAAGCTGACTTATATAAATAATAAATAATATAATATGCATACATGTACGTATAAAATAACATTATAATATATTGAAGGTGGTATTAATGATAGATTAATTTCATGTAGTCTCCTGTTAAATATATAGTTAATTTTTCATATTGGAGTACTCATAATTTTAGATTAATTAAATTAAGTTTAATCACTTAAAATCAAGCTTTCTACATATATAATCATCTTAAAAATATAATAGATATTATTTTATATAATAATTAATCTACCATTACATTAATGCAACCTTTAATATATTTTATTATATAATTATAATAAAATTATATCTGTATATGTGAGCTTAGATTTTAAGTGGTAAACTTAATTTAAATAATGTAATTTAAGTAATTAAACTTAATTTGATTAATGTAAAATTTTAAGTACTCCAATATAAAACAATAAATATTACACTTGAGTGGATATTAAATGAAATTCAATTATATTAAATGGTACTATATTAAATATATAAGGTTAGAATTGACATATATCTAAAAATATAATGGATTTTTATTAAGAGCATTAATTCAATATATTCAACATGAAATTGAAAAATGGGTATTGTTTGAGGAACTCGAATGGTGGCCCTGATTCTCATTTTGATATTAAAAATCTTATTTTAATTTGATTAATAGCAGTAATTCAAAATGAAATTGAAAAATGATGTTTAAGGAGCTCAAATGATGACCTTAAATAATCATTTATAAAAATTAAAAAACATATATTTTATAATTTAATTAATGACATTACACTCAAATGGATATTAAATGAAGTTAAATTATATTAAATAGTACTATATTAAATATATAAGGGTAGAATTGACATATAGCTAAATATGTAAGGGTAAAATTGGTATTCAAAAGTTTCTTTTGAATCCGCACTTTTAGCCCTTGTTTGTCAACCATTCTCCCACATTTTATCATATTATTTTTCTATAGTAATGTATTGTAGATAAGCATTAAGAGCTTGAACAACTTTTATTTTTCAAATTTTATAATTTATATTTGACTAGAAATTTTTATTATTTTATCTTTTCAGAATTTTTATTTTTAAATTTTTTAGAATTTTTTATTTTCTTTTTTCAAATATTTTTGATTTTATTTTATGGAATTTATCAATTTTAGTTTTTTGAATTCAATTTTTTCTTTTTTCAAAATTTTAAATTTTATTTTTTTACTTTTAAAATTTTACTTAAACTCTTGTTTTTTCATGTTTTTGTTTTGAGCGTGTTCAGAATTTTCACTTAAAAAACTAAAAATATCAAAAATGCATCATAAATTTTATGTAATACGCTTGACCTTGTTTTTGAAAATGTATTTTCAGAAATAATAAACCAAATACGTTTTCTGTGTTTTGCAAATCTAAAAATTAAAAACAGTTTGAAGATAGCAAACCAAACACATCCTAAATATCTTCAAATTGTTAGAAGGGGAAATCCCTACTCCAGAAACAATAGAAACTTTGATCTAACACGAAAAATTGTCTCGATAAAGTGATGTACATGCATTTCCAATAACTACAGATAAATCTCATTTAGCCCTTGTCTTGTCCCCATTTTCTAAAATTCATTTTGTCCTCAAAATCATTCTCACTCAAGTTTTATCAAGATTTATTAAAACCCCAAATTTTAACTAAATTGAATAGGGCTCAATGTCATTTTTATCCTATGCTTGATGTTCCAAAACATGTGGGAATCGAACTCCAGTTTCTGAAATTACAAGAAAATTTGCCCACTCCAACGTAATCGCTAATCAATCTAGTCAATTCGCCTTTGTTTGATCTCCAAATCCATCTTTCTCTAAACTTGTTTGCAACCATACATTTTAATCATATGTTTCATCAACTTTTATCAAAATATACTAAATTTGATTAACCTAAACCAAACAAGGAGTAACTGTTGACTTAGATTTCAAAAGGAAAAGCAATTAGAAAATAATGCACAGAATTATTCTAGTAATTGAGACAGAGGATTTACATAATCTCAATTGATACACATAATTATTCTTGTAAACAAAAGAGAATTTTCATAATCTCTTTATTTGATATGAAATATCCAAAATCCAAGCAAAATCTGCATTTTTTACTCACAATCCAAAAAAATAACAGCAAATTAAGCACCTTCTTGGGGCATTGTCTAGTCTTTCTTCACACCCATTTTCCTATTCATCCATCCATCTTTTCTTCTATGGAGATTGTAAACATGAGGCGTCTGATTGCAACTATAATGCTTATATTTCATGTGCACGGGCTGTTGCAAGAAAAAAACCTTTCACTTATCGAAACTACCTGTAGACACACCCAGAATTATAAACTATGCATACACACTCTACTTGCAAATCGCGGAAGCATCCACGCAAATGAAACGGGTCTTGGCCTTATAATGGTGGATGCTGTGAAAGCCAAGGCGAAAGAAACGCTTTATCAAATATACAAACTCAAGGCCTTCCGACCCAAGATGAGAGCTGCATTGAATCAATGTACCATTCAGTACAAATTAATTCTGGAGATTGATGTACCGGTAGCAGTAGACAGTTTAAACAAAGGGGTTCCACAGTATGCTAGAGATAACATGGCAGATTCATCTCTGCAAGCCGTTTTCTGTGAAGGGAATTTCCATGGTGAATCGCCGATAACTCAATTGACCAACGAAGTGCGTGATCTTTGTATTGTTGCTAGAGATGTTATCCCGGTTTATCTGTAAATTGATTTAGACTGAATAAAAGACAAAACTAAGAGAATTGATGAAAGCAATTTTAAAATTAATGGATCTGCCTACAATGTCAAATATGTACGAAAACCAGCAAGGATTTAGCCTCTGTAAATTTAAAGAACATTGTGTAATATGTGATAAAAAGCCCGGACAAAATAATTATGTTAAGTATACGAATTAAAAACTCTCGTTATATCGTCAAATAAACCTGTGAAATGAGTGAACTTCGATCTAACATGAAAAATGGTCTCAAAAATTCCGTATGATGTAAAATAAAGTGCAATGGAAGTTCCGTTAAGCTAAGAGTTAAGGATAATTCTCTGATTGCTCAATAAACTTTGCATACTAGGGGGCCATTGAACTTCGAAAGTTTTTCCATTAGTCACTTTACTTTACAAAATGTAAATCTCAGTGATGGATGGATTATATTTTATAAAGTTCTATGACTAAGGGGGAAATTTTTGAAGTTCTTATTGATGGATGGAATTATATTGGGTAAAGTTCAGTGACAAAGTGGGAAACATTAAAAATTCAGCGACCTCTTGAAAACTTTATGCAAAGTTCAGTGACTAATTAGGTTATTTATCAATCTCTATGTTTTTATAGTTTTTTTTTTTCCTTTCTTTTTTCTTTTTTATGTACTCTTACCCCCAATTTTATTCTCTCTAGCAATGCCTAACTTAGAAAAAAGAATAGCTTTATCTCGAGAGTAACTGATAAGGTTGTCTACTGACCTATCTAAGATCAAAGAGGCAACAACGATCCATACAGTCAACTATTTCGAAAGAAAGCCCCTCATGGGGTGGCCGAGTTGGTGGAGTAGGTGAGGGCGGAAGCCTTTGGTCACGAGTTTAATTCCCCCTACCAATATTTTCTCGATCAAGTCTGTCGCACCGGACTTGCCTAGTACGGTTTACCTAACTAGCGTGATTTGCAGGCTATTGTGTCAATCCGAAAGTTTACCCACTGTACACTCGAAGGGTAGTGGCCACTAATTCCCCAGTAATTAGAAGGAAAAAAAAACATTTTCGAAAGAAAACACCTTCAACATTGATCATTTAGTGGTAATCAACTTTGAAATTCATACACATTTTCTGCTAAGAATCTAATAAATTTTTTATTTTTATTAGATATGTATTGATGGAAAGACAATCGATGCTGAAGTAGCCCATAGAATTGTCCTTTGTTGCCTCCTTGATATTAGAGATGTCAGCAATCAACCTTGTCAATTACCCTCGAGATTATGCCTTTTTTCTAAATTTGGTGGCACTAAAGAGAATAAATTGTGGTATAGAAATACAAATAGAAAAAAGAAAAAGAAAAAGACAAAAAAAAAAAACATAAAGATTGTTTTATTACCTGATTGGTCACTAAACTTTGCGTAAGGTTTTCAGGAAGTCACTGAACTTCAAAAGTTTCAGCTTTAGTCACTAAACTTTACAAAATGTAATCTATTAACTTCTTAAAAACCTCAGATATGTTTAGGGATGACAATTTGAACCGTCAAAATCGAAAATCGCGGTTAATCGAATCGAATGGGCCGAAAAAAATTGAACCAATTGTGCAATGGAACGGATATGGTATTTGATTTTAATGAACCGGTTCGTGGCGGTGCGGATATAGTATTTATGCCGTCAAACTGAAATCGAACCGATTACCCGCTAAAAAAAAAAAGCAAATATAAAAAAATTGAATTGTTTATTTGGCTTTACACAATTTTTCTATCCAGCCCAGAACAAAATTCTCCCATTGCATCTATTTGACCCAGCCGGCCAGCTCGCTTACCATTAGTTTATAATAATAGCATTAGTATGACAGTATATAAATGCAAACCTACTCTCCACAAACCACAAGCTCATGCACGGCTCCACTACCTTCACGATCCAAGCCATCGTCGCCTCCAGAAAATTTTCCACACGACTTTAGTTTGGATCAGATTGGACTTTAGTTTTAAAGAAAAGACAGGATCTCAGGTGATGGGCCTTCTTAATCAAGATTATTGGAACAAAAATTTCATCTCAGTCATTTTTGTTGTATCTGTAAACTGATTGCATTTTACATCCAATTCCAGGGACGCATTTTTCAGGATTTGATGCAGAAATTGTTTCAAATTTTTTCGAAAAGAGGATAAATTCAATCGGTACTGATTATAGTATAAACTGATTGCATTTTACATCCAATTCCAGGGACGCATTTTTCAGGATTTGATGCAGAAATTGTTTCAAATTTTTTCGAAAAGAGGATAAATTCAATCGGTACTGATTATAGTATAAACTTGAGCCAAGTCCGAGGTGTGGTCAAATATAATATATTGTGTTTTTGTTTTCAATGACTTTTTTCATAAATTATTTTATATCAATTTAATGGATGAACCTCTAAAAAATAATTTATTTTCATGGTTATTAATCAAACCGAACCGTACCGAACCGAGATACGAACCGAAGCGATTTACGTGGTTATGGTGCAGTTATGATTGATTGTACGATTATGATTTTGGTCGAACCGACCCATAACCGAACCGTTGCCAACCTTACTTTAAGCCTTGTTTGACGTTTATTTTTTTCAAATTCATTTTCAACCAATTTTATTAACTTTCTAATCAAACGTTTCATCAACTTTAATCAAAATTTACTGAAAATATAATTTTTAGCAAAATCAAACAGGGTCTAAATATATATCCAAGAGAAATAATAATAATAATAATAATAATAATAATAATAATAATAATAATAATGATGATGATGATGATGATAATAATAATAATAATAATAATAATAATAATAATAATAATAATAATAATAATGCGATTTTTACACACTACTTCCATCTCTACAAGCCAGTTTCTCCAAGTGTACGTGTTGCATACAATGGATATGAAGAACAAAGAGAAGCTTATCTACATTGTTCTATTATTTCTCCTCAACTTGCTGGGAAATTTTGGAGGAGGAGACGAAGAAAACTCGAACGGAAGCGGTGGGATTTCCATTTCCCGTTTCAAAATCTTAACAATCTCTCCAATGTCAGGCCGCAGTTCAAGCATTTTTTGTAGGCAAGCAAGGGCCAAATAAATACTCAAGCTAGCCTCGTCCCTGTCATACTCATCTTTCAGTCTCTCATCCACGAGTTCTAATATGTTTCCAGTATGAGCCAAGTGCCTACACCAGCTTATCAAGTTTGCTTTCTCGAGCTTCATTGGTGATGAAAGTACGTGAAGTGGCGTTCTACCTGTTACGAGTATTAAAATGCCAAAGCTGTAAATATCGGCCTTCTCCATTAAGTATCCACATCCACTGTATTCCGGTGCAGCATAGCACAAAGTACCCCTCATGCTTGTTGTGCTACTCAACTCTCGACTGAAAAGATCTCCACTCCACATTTCACTCCCTACAGATTTGGAATCTTTCTTCTTCCAATCCTTCCTAAAACTGAACTCCATATCTGGATCATTCACATTGTGGGTCTTGTGACTCGATTTTCTTTTCCTTTTGAAGTGTAAGCGTACTTTGAACAGTTTTGGACTCCTTATTTGAAACTGTTTCACCTTATCATTCTTCTGTAGGATAATTTATTACGTTAAATCACAGGATCTTTCATGTTAAATCATCAAGAAATACATAAATTATGGCGGAAGCGTACCTGAATTAGACATGGTTAATGCAATAATGAATTTCGCGATTTTGTCTTCCAAATTTACACGCAGTCTCCTTTTTCTTTCTGTGATGGGATGCAGTAGAGAATGAATAATACGTACATGTGATCTGGGGACCATAATCGTATTTATATAGCGATGCCCATTGACCTAATTTGACCCATCATAGAATTATGACTTGTGCCCGGTCTCTACACATATGTAAATCCACACTTTAGTTAGATACATTAAAGCCCAAAATTGAAGCCTTATTAGATCACTTTAATTGGGCTCAATCAATTTTGATAGTCTTTAATTAACACACAATTATTCACACATATAAGCTCATCTATTGATTAAAAATCCTTACAATCTCCCACTTGGGCTATATGTGTCACCTTATAATTGTGCATTAAACATAACCTTATGAGTACTCAGAATTTTGCTATCATTACCGAATGTATCCCCAAACAATCTTGTCCATCAATCATATCAACATAGGATCAAAGCAGCTTTCGCTACTTTCATGTATCTAAACCTATCAATGGTCACGTATATCGATACAACTGAATAACATAGATCAAACATGGATGTATAGCATGGAAATTACATGTGATGTGATCTGTAACATGCCTATTTCCAACTGGTCCATCTTAATATCTTAGTGAGATCATTTTAAACAATTTCAGAGATAATAAACCAAATAACTTTATAACCGAAAATAACTTTAACCTTAAATCGTATCCAAAAGAACAGTATATGTGTCCAATATGAAAAGCAAAAATACAAACTCCCACTGAAACTAGATATCCTCAAGAGACACTATACTCATATGAGCAGTGTGCTCACGAAAGACCTTAGATATCAATCCCTTAGTAAGTGAATCTGCAATCATGGAGTTTGTCCTAATATGCTCTATTAACACCTGTCCACTCTGAATTCTTTCTTTAACATCCAGGAACTTGATCTATATATGTTTTGACTTCGTCGAGCTCCTGTTGTTATTGGAATACAACACTGCTGATTTATTGTCACAAAATATCTTAAGTGGTCTTTCTATATTGTCCACAATGCGCAACCCAGTGACAAAATTACGTAGCCATATTTCATGATTTGATGCCTCATAACATGCTATAAACTCCGCTGTCATGGTGAAAGTAACTATGAGTGTCTGCTTAGCACTCTTTAAGGAAATAGCACCTCCAGCAAGCAGGTAAATAAAGCTTGAAGTGGATCTCCTACTAGCTGGGCATCCCGTGAAATCAGAATCAGGATAACCGACGATCTCCAACTGATCCGATCTCCTGTATGTGAGCATGTAGTCTTTTGTTCTCTGTAAATACCGCATGACCCGTTTGACTGC